CTGCTCGCGCCTTGCGGACCCCATGTCCGTTTCCTGACCTCTCATCACCTGAGGGACGTGGTTTAAACACCACTGACCTCAGCAAGACACAGAGGCGGCTCTGATGCGCGCCCGTCCACGGTCAGTCATTGATCCTTGTGTGGAATATGGCTTCCGCCCGGCGGATGCCGCTGTGGAAGCGAAGGACGCAGTAACGCGTCCACATCATCGAACCCCCGGCCATGAAGGAAGCTGGGCTTGCTAAACGGAAAGCTCTTCGAGCTCATTTCTTGGTCCCACAAGAAATACCGTTTGACGTTTATCGAACTCGTTCACGTGCTCAACGAGGTGGCTCTCGTGTACCCGCAATGCGAACGATACCTGTAGCGCTCGCCTTTGGCGAAAGCGCTACAGATGACGAAGTGCTCTTTGAGCGATGGGTGCAACGGCACCGAAAGCTTTCCTCACTGTATGCCTTACAGTTGAGCCACAAGGAAGTGGACGTGCGTATGGAGCGCTAATTCCGATTTGAGTTTGCTAAACTCAAAGCACGCCGCGGACTCCCTTCAGGTTGTCGCCCTGCGACGTATGAGTCAACCCCTAACACTCCCGCGAGCTCTGTGTCTGCGACCGCAAGAGTTCGGGGCCACCGCTTGAGATCAGCTCATGGTCCTTCTACTTCCCTGTATATTACCGGGAAGCGTGGGGCGTCCGCCGACGTGGGGCGTCCAGATCTTTCTGATCAAAAGTGTTCACGGCGTCTGGGCTATTTTGCCGAAGTGGCGCCTCAAATGCACGAACAAACTGTACGCCAATGCAGACAAGTGCAATCACGGCGCAAAATAGATTTCTTTATGTTTTAAAAAAATCTCTAAAAGGTGCTTCATTGGGAAGCGTAGCCTTCGAGCGGATTCCACTAAGGTCAAGGCTATTGTAGATTGGCCGGTTCCAAAGAACCAGAAGGACTTGCGTAAGTGGCTTGACCTCGCCAGGTACTTGCTCAAGAATAGCGTAAATTGTGCAGACCCGGCCATTATCCAATCC